CTTGCACTTCTCTGCAGGGCTGCTTCCCAGGCAGTTGCCTTCCACAATCTGTATAGTTATTCCATTCCAGACACAAGGCTTTGCAGATAGAGTAAAAATGAATAATCATTGTGTGTACACACCACACATTGTTTTCTGTGAGGCCAGACTTACTGGGTTCTCTAATCTTTCACCACTTTAACACTCTTAGATGAATAAGATGAGTTGCCAGCAGCCAGCTGGCCAGCAGCCATCCCTTCCCATGGGTGATTGCTGTGAAGTGGCTTCAGTGTTCTTCATATTTAAAATGTGGATAGGGTTCCTTATGTGAATAAATGGGTTTGAGGCTCACTTTCAAGATTCAGTATGCTTAGGAGCCAGTGAGTTAATCTCAAGAACAGCCTAGGCTGGTAAGTGAAGCACTGTTGCATTTGTCCTTGCTTTATGGTGTTATACAACTGGTCTTCATAGGTCATCTTTACTGGTACTTCTTTCCTTCTGTTCTCATTTTTACTGACAGTGAACTCTCACATTATTTTTCTCTCTAATTTTTGTGCTTGGTTTAATATTGCTTCCTGAAGAACATGCAGGCATCTGATTAGTACAGCAACTACCAGTCAAACTTCCATGCATTTAACACAGGGTCTTCCTATTTAAACACTGGATGAGTAAGAGCATTTGAAACTTCTGTCTAAGAGAAGATAAAGTAGAATTTTATTTATTATTTTAATAAAACTAGTGTTGTTTTCAAAATACTGACTTAAAGCTGGAGGTATCTTGGTTCCTGATGAAAACACTCCTGGCAATAAGTAGTGTTTGCTGTGCTTTGTTCAATGCATCGCACCCATTAATGAATCTAGAGTTTGACTTTGCTCTGATTATGATCAGAAGCAAAACTGTAATTTATTTTAGTAGGAACAGAATTCTCTCTTATTTTAAGTTTGCTTATTTTATTTAAGACAGTTTGCAGTAGCAGTGCACACGATTAATTTGGTTACCTCCCTTACTTCTGACGAGTGAGAATTTTCCCTACTGGCAGATTATAGAATCATAGAATAGTCTGAGTTGGAAGGGACCTTAAAGATCATCTAGCTCATCTAGCTCCACTCCCCCTCCCACGGTCAGGAACACTTCCCACGAGACCAGGTTGCTCAAAGACCCATCCAACCTGGCCTTGAACACTTCCAGGGAGGGGGTGTCCACAACCTCCCTGAGCAACCTGTTCCAGTGTCTCACCACCCTCACACAAAATAATTTCTTCCTAATGTCTAACCTAAATCTACCCTCCTCCAGCTTAAAATCATTACCCCTCTTCCTATCACTACACGTTAGACACTTGTGCCTACACCAAAGGTGGGAGCTCTGACAGGCTATGACACTAATGCTCAGTTTTGTGTTGACCTGCTGGAAAGACAGGTAGGGAGAGGGGCCCAATCCAGTTAAATTCCTTGTGGGAGAAGCTGTTGTTCTCCCATTCCCACTGGGTAGAACCTAATATGGACTTAATCAGAGCAGCAAGAGCATGTTGATTTAACTGTAACTTGCACTTAGGGTTAGGAGATGGCAATGAGGTGCCATCCTGTATAAAGGCACCCCTGGCACTGTGCAGGAGTTGTACTGTGGCCACTCATCTGGCATTGCTACCGTCCCCAAAATAATCTGTGGTTTCCAAAAGCAATTAGATTCTCCTTTTTCACTTCATGAGCTTCTTTCTCTCAGTTCTGCATTTTGTCAGACCACGCAGTAGTTGATTGATTGAGTGAAATTAAAGATTCAATGTTCCCAAAGCATTGTGTTTTACCCAGAGCAGTCTGTATTTTCCAAGCATGGAAAGAGATGGACAGGCTGCCCATCCTTAGACCTGCATTGGGCCTATCCTGTGGCTTTAGCAGTATAGATATTTAATAACATATGTGTATTAATTAAGATGGAAGCAACACCAACATATTTCTTCTAGACAATTAATATAGTTCCAAGTACCTACCTTACAGGTCTCTGTGCCTAGTAGCAGAGTTTGGAGAGAGGGGTACAACCCATGGCACAGGAGAATTGCATTGAGACTGCTTAAGTAGACCTATAGTTGTCTGCAGGACTGGGCAGAGTGCATGTGATGGTGCTGAGGGCATTGCCCAGTATCATTGCAATTTGCTGTCTATCTATTGCCAGCAGGTTGAGGGGAACTTTTATTCCTCTCTACCTGATGCTCATGTGGTCACCTCTGCAGTAGCATATCCAGTTTTGGGCCCCCAAATAGAAGAGTGAGATTGGCTGACTGAAGTGGACCCAATGGAGGACCACCAAGATGGTTAGGGGGTTGGAGCACATGATATATGAGGAGACTAGATTGGCTGGGGTTTGTTTAGCCCCAGGAAAAAACAAGGTTTAGGGGAGATCTGACGGCTCTTTTCCATTATGTAATGCAAGGACATAGAGAAGGCAAGGAGAAGGAAACATCACCAGGTTGCAGCAAAAGACATTCTGTTTGTGTAGAAGGAAAAGAAAAAAAACAACACATAAGAGCTGTTAAGCCCTGGAACAGGGGCCCAAAGGAGTTGTGCAGTCCCTGACTTTGAAGATTTTCAAAGTTTGACCAGACAAGGCCCTGAGCAACCTTGTCTAACTGGGAAGACAGAACTGCTGTGAGCAGGGTTGAGGAGTGGATGCCCTCCACAACTCTCTTCCAAGCTAAATCAATCTACAAAAATTCACACTAACCTCTTAATTTGAAAATGTCTTAACTGTATTAGGACACTATCAGAGGCAGAGAACAATAGTCACAGTGTGGTATCCCACTGAATTTCTGAATGTTTATTAGTCCCACTTCATAATACCAGGAGAGGAAGTCTCTACATGCTGAGTTAGTTTGGCTATGGTAAGCAACAAGTACAATTGGGTAGTATTAAACATTTCCTTTACATGCTCATATATACTGTAGCAAAGTATACTCAAGCTAGAAACAGATTTAAATAACTTGTTAAAAACTGAGCAGAGCAGGATCATTTCAATCTCTGGTGCTTCTGTTGTACTTCTTGACTTTTTAGAGATAAATGTAAAATTTATTGACAGTAAAGGTTTCAGGGCAGTGTGGCTCTAGAACAAGGAGTTGAATGATGGTTTAAAGAAATTATGTAGGTTCACAGGATCACCTTCTACTCATTGTCACAGCATTTTCCCCTTGTAGAGCTTTGCTGGTGTCAGTGAAGTTGTCCTGGCAACTTTTCAAAGGAAGAAGAAGAATTTGGACTAATTTGTCCTTCAGTAGGTTGCCTCTTTGTAATTGAGTCCCCAGTCCAAACTCTCTTGAAGGATGTAGAAGCAACCACATTCATTTCAAATCTCTCTTATGATGAGACAAGAGCCAAAGGCTATTTTCCATCACAACCAGACAAGTGACAACTTCCACTTTTCCAGTGTTTGTCTGAAAAGAAGTGAGTTCCTGGTGCAATTCATGAGTAACCTTTACGTTTTTTAAGTTTTAGCCAATAACTGTAGTAATAGGATACCAGGACTGACTTGTTCAGAAAGGCACATCTGATGATAAGGGATGAGCTTATGATAATTTTCTTCTGGCAGCTAAACTGAAGCACAAACCAGAGACCATGGGCAAGCCTTAGGAAGGCTGTTTGGATATGTGTCGTATAGGTTTGCCCCATTCTTGTGCTTTCCCCTTGGTATTCTTGCTTCTGGATATGGTCAGAAACTGGACACTGTGCTTTGGGCATGTCTCAGTTTCTGTTTTTTATAAACTATACAACAGCTGAGAAGAATCTGTTGTCTGCTTCAGATGATCCTGAAACATTGCATGAAATAGTGTGGAAAGAACACAGAAATATTTTAAGTTTGCTGCTTAGAATCCCTGCCAAACCACTGCTTGGTGTCACTGCAAAGCTACCTTGGCTTTCTATACAAATGCTAGGAAATTAAATATTCTGGTTTCCAAAGGCTTTGTCATTCAGCTACACTAGAGTGTGTACTACATGTTATACTGCCTAAGGAAAAAAAACAAACAACAAAACAACAAACTACTGAACTACCATAAAGAAGAATATCCATTTCCATGGAAAAAAAAAATAAAAATAAATAAAAATGGTGTAATCAGAATGTGAATGGTCTTGTTGCAAAAATACCTACCTGCTGTGGAATTGAATTGCCTCAACTTGCTCTTAGTTGGGAAATCATGTTTTAGTGGTCATATAAAACCACTCCTGAACTTAGCACAGCTAGCCCTCTTACCAGCATTTTCAAGGCTAGGTTCATGCAAATATTTGCACTTTCCTTTCCACCTGCCCATGAAGATAAGACGATGACTTGAGTGTGGCCAGGCAGCTGGTTAGACCAGATGCTCACACACCTCCAAGTTATGGCTGTATCTGGTATTTAGACAGACATGAAGCACATCAAAAACCAACAGTTGGCTGGCTTTGATGGTCAGGTTTTAAGCAGAGTTATGCATCTCTGTGAAGCAGTTTTTAAACAGTTGTGAAGCAGCAAGCATCCAAGTATATAGGCTAAAGCCTACTGCTCTGGCTTCCTGAAAGAAAAAGAAAAAAAAAAGGAAAAGAAAAAGAAAAATAAAAATAAAAGGGCCAAACATTAATTATACAAATAAAGCACTGATAAACACTATAAAGCATTAAAATCTTCAGACATACATGTATGTCCATTGTGATACACAATCAAAGTATTGTTAGTCAGGCAAGAAAGCAAAATGCAGCACCATTTATTTCCTTTTAAAAAGAAACTATATATGAGACAAAATCCATCTCACTGTGCAAAAAAAAATAAATCATAAAGAAAAGACTCACAGGCCAATAAAGTAATTTCTTTGCATTTTCAGCTCTCCCTCCCACTGCAAATACCTTTTTAAATTACTTTCCATACCCAGCATGTTAGCAAAGAGTAAATATACACAAATTTACACAAATCTGTCTTTCTCAGGGAAGGCCCTCTAAGAATTAGAGATTATCCATCGTTTTAAAAATCTGAAAGTTCATCCCGGATTACTGGTAGTAAGTCTCACTTCAGTAGATGGACGCACCTTCATAGTGGAATTTGTCTGGAGGGGAGATTCTGGGGCTGGAGACTTGACTGTTCCCACAGGGTAAATACTGACTACATAAACGTAACAAATGGCTCTTGAACTTGACTCCAACGAAAACATAGAGCACAGGGTTGAGGCAGCAGTGGGAATAAGCAATTTTCCGGCTGATGTGAAAGGCAAGCATGGAGTCTTTTTCATACTGACAGGTAGGTGGTGGAAAAGTAATCAGAAAGCTGAGAATGTTGTAAGGTGCCCAGCAAAGGAAAAACGCCACCACAATGATAAGGATGAGTTTCACAGTCCTGTGCTTTCTGCGAGATTTTGTTCTGAGCAGGATTATCAGTATCTTGATGTAACAGAACACAATAACCCCAAAGGAAACCAAGAAGAGTACATTTCTCTGATAAATGTCCACCTTTTTCCATTTCCAGTCGGCATAATCACAGGTCTTGCCCCCTTCCAAGTTGTCTTGCACTGTGGTGTGAATCACCTCAGGAACCACCATCAATATGCTACCAGCCCAAACAGCCAAGCTGACCAGGAAGCCACAGCACTGTGTCTGGGACCTCAGGGTGGAGAGGGGGTTCACGACGAACAGGTACCGCAGCATCGTCATCAGTGTCAGGAAGAAGACGCCGCTGTAGTAGCCAACGGAGAAAACAGCATTCACTGCTTTGCAAAGGAACTCACCAAAAATCCACCCCAAGGACTGGTCCACGGCCCAGAAGGGCAGCATGCAGGAGAAGACTAAATCAGAGACACAGAGATTCATGATGAAGATGTTCGTTAAAGATGTGAGGATTTCATACTTGAATAGGATCCATAGGACTAGAGTGTTGCCTACCAGGCTGAATAAAAATGCCAGTGTGTAGATGACAGTAGTGAGGTGGGTGTAAAATACAAAGTAGCCACCCATTTCGCAGACATTGCTGTAAATTATTGAGTAATTATAATCTGAATCGGGATAATTTTCTTCATCCATTTGCCTGTGCAAACTGTGTGCTATTTTCCAGCAGCTGCTTCAAAGAACTGCAACAATCAAACAAAAATTTGGGTGAAAATCAACCCAATAACTAAACTTCTGCTGCGGAGCCTTCTGTTTTAAAGAACAAAAAGAAGCAGTGAAACTACTTTGTTTGTCCTGGTTTTGGGAGAGAAAGGTGTCATTTCCTCTTATGAAAAGAGCATGAACAGATAGATCCTAAAGATTTACCCTAAAAGTAACGTCAAGATCCTAAATACTTAAGAAGTCAGAAACTAAGAAGTTTCTAAATCAATGTCACAGAATCATAGAATGCATTGGGTTGGAAGGGACCTTTAAATGTCATCTAGTCCAACCCCCCTGCAGTGAGCAGGGACCTCTTTAAATAGATCAGGTTGCTCAGAGCCCCATCAAGCCTGACCCTGAATGTCTCCAGGGATGGGGCCTCCACCACCTCTCTGGGCAACCTGTTCCAGTGTTTCTCCGTGCTCCTAGTAAAGAACTTCTTCCTAATGTCTAATCTAAATCTGTCCTGCTCTAGTTTAAGACCATGGGCAGTGACAATCGCTAATTATTAAGCTTCTACTATGTGAAGTTTGAGGGTGCATTGTTTTTCAATGTAAGTATCCCAGGTGCCAAGACTTTCCAATCTACTACTATTTTTACAGTTTTCTGGAATTGTATAAAATCCCTAAACACTTCACTATATATATGAGCCTTTGTCACTGATGTTCAGCACTGCAGAAACTTTAAAAGCTGAGCAGTACCAGTATCAATAAGTGTAAGCACTAAGAGGGGGGAAAGTGGTGTTTCTTACAGATTTTTGTCTTGGCGTTGGTTGATATCTAAAAATCTCCCAGCTGTGAGGGAGGCACCTGCACTTTGGGCGCTCAGTGCATCTGTGTCCTGCTGATTCTCAGGGATGTGACAGGAATGGAGCTCACACCACACCCCTTTCTGGGGACTGCTGCCCTCTGCCTGTCTGCAGGTAGGAATTTAATCCCGACTGGATGGTTGAAATTAGCCAGTGTCCAAAATTACTGGGAGTTGGAAGATGACACACAATCAGGTGAACATACAAGGGTAGCATAGTCACAGCAGCCTCATGTCTTTATGAAATTAAGATCAAAGTAGGCATAGAAAAATCAGTAATGGCTCCAACCAACGGTTCAGTCTAAATTAACATAATCCCTGATGAAGGTTTACCTGCAGCACTGTGTTTAGATCCTGATTTTACTGGTGCCAGTGAGAGACCTGTCACTTATCTCTTTGGAAATACAGTCATGAGAAGGAAAGTCCATGACTCAGGCCAAATTTGTTCTGGTGGCGTTTTTCTTTTTGGATTAGTGAAAGTAGAATCTTCCTGTTAGAGCAAGGAAAAGACATGCTGCCTTTGGAGGACAGGAGGGTTATATCTGCACCAGGAAAGCATGCCAGGGAGCACTGCTGGCTGCCAGCATTTAGTGATGTCTTCAGGGGCAGGTGGCTCTGGTCAGCCAGAGCTCAGCACAGGCTGCTCAGGCCAGGGACCACCCATCCACTGGGATGTGGTCACTCAATTTTGGAGGCAAGGAATATGTGGGATTCAGTACTGTGACAGCAAGTGGCCCTGGCACATATATCACCAGAGTTATAGTTCTGTCAAGTGTGGCTGTGGCCCACAGTCTGTACCATGCTGCCATCTTCAGGCATGCAGGACAAGTGCCTTCCGAGGCTGTCATCCTCTCTGGATTTGTTTGACAATACAGATGACACTTGAGTAACACAAGGGTTGGACTGAGGTCTTAACCATCGACATGTCCTGTTCCAGCTGCAGGTGTTGCACGGCCGTTGTTCACACTGGCTGCCTTGCTTGGAACCTCTTCCCTGTGCTCCCAGTGCAAGTGAGACCTTGATGGAGGACCTCTCTCGTCATCCTCATGGTAAACATAGCTTTGACCTCCTACACTTCTATTCTTTGCTGAGCTATAGGAGTCTGCATGCTGTGCCGTGTCACCTGGTGCAGTCTCCATGTAATTACAGATGAAGGTTCCAGCCTACAAGGCATCTGACCTCCTGGATGGCTGGATCAGGACTAAGCATGTGCTTTGATATTATGTTTGTACCAGCTGGGAAGCCCTCCATCAGATCAGTTATAGTAAGGAGCACCTTGCAGGAACCTGATCTGTGATCTTTTCCTTCTTGCTTCACATTCTTTACAAAACTCCTGGGGTCAAACCCTGCATTTTTGCTCAGTTGTATTTTATCTCCCCCCATTCTAGTCTATAAATGAGAAATGCTGTGCATGGATTTTCAGTTAAGACATGTGAAAAGGAGGGGAAAAACTTGTTATGATTAAATCAACAGGCTAAGAACGTTAACATGACACATGAAGTACAAATCATGCAACTTTTTTCCGTATATATATAATGGTACAAGTGAGAGCAGAAGTTAGCTGAAAGATGGAAATTGCCTTAGTTTCTGTTGTCTGGACAAATAGGAACAGAGGAAAAACATATCCTACAGTTTAAAGTCATCCCTGTCTGTGTGAGGAGCACTCAGCAAGGCATTCAACATTTATTACACTATTGGCCAGACACAACTTATTTCCCAGAAGCTGTTGTTTTCTATCAGTGCTGATCTTTGCCTTGGAATATGATGGAAAAAAGGATTTTAATACAGAAATGTGGAAGTGCTGTTATTAGCAGCCTCTAATTAAATTTTGTTTTTCTTGGAAAATTCAGTTAGAATTCCTCTTGACAGCTGGAGATACATCTTGTTAATAAGTTTATTATTTATTTATTTATTTATTTCCACACTGAGCATTTGACAGAGTGTCTGGCAGGAGCTGTGCCTGCTCCCTTTGCAGTCAGAGGAAGGAGAGGCCCTGGCAGGACCCACATTGTTCCTCACTGGGGGTTACACCAGCCTGCTCTGCAGGCAGAGGCAGCTGAGACAGCTCCCTTTAAGAAGATTCCTGGCACCTCCACAGACAAACTGAGGTTAAACTCATCTTAATTGGAAAGGACCAGGGGAATATAGCCAACAGAAGCCCCCTACCACAAGGCAGGCACTGATGGGAGCTACATCAGAAGTATTTTTAGCTCACTTGATTCAAACTCCTGCTAGAGCTGATGGGCTTCATAGCTTGTTCTCCAGGTTTCTCAGTGGAACAAAAAAAATAACAGCTAGCTGGGTTTGCAGGCTAGTTTGCACTTTGGCTACCTAAAGCAGCAAAGATCAAGTCAGAAAATAAATTTCTGTTCCTCTAAACTGGAATTTATCTGGTAGCTGCTTCCTTAACTGATCTCTTGTTCCAATTTGGGCTAGGAAGAAAAATCCCAAATGTGCCCCTTTTTTTTTGCAGGAAGAGGTTTTAATTCTTCAAATAGGTTTATGGAGCAGTCTTTTTTATTTAATGGAAGTTAAAATATGTTAAGTAATATTTCTCCTACCCTGACTATGACTCGTGTCAATCTTGGAGCACACCCTTAGAGTCACACGTGGGAGATGAACCACAAAGTCCTGGAACTCTTGGGATGTAGGCTTGGCACAAAGCACAGATGCACTGTGGATGATCAGTCTTCACTGGTGGGTGAAATAATTGCCCACTTTGGAGGAGTTTTCCACATGGCAACAAATTTGGGACATGGATAAAGGGAAAAGTCAGTAGGACTTCCTTTGCCCAGTTGGATTTTGGAGAACCCAATAAGCCCAGCTCTTAATGAAAACTCTTACCTTATATTTAAAGCAAAACCTGCCCTTGAGTTGGGGTCATTTTCTGAAACTGGTGCTTCCACCTGTGCCCCATGGGTTTCAGGGGGCAGGTACAACACACACTGTGAGCCCAGCTCCTTGGTGGTCCTCTGTTCCTCCTGAGCTCTGCTTCTCAGCACTGGCCATCAGCCTATGATAACCCCAGTATAGAACATGGAGAAAACATCTCAGACTAAGAGTCCTGAAACAAATATATGAGTCTGAGTTTAACTTTACATACTAAGTGCCACTACAGTCAAGGCAAGATCAGCTCACAGCATCTACAGAGAATTAATGCTTGTGGACCTGCCACATGAAGAATTATATTGTTCACAAGTGCTGTCACAGCACTGCTGAAGCAGCAGCCCTCCTCCTCATCCAAAGACACCATGGGGGTAAAATTAGTAGCCAAGACATTATACAATGAGGAAGAGGTTATGATGTTCTCTTCTCTCCCTTCTCCTTTCTAAAGAGCTGTAAATACACCCTCTGGGCCATTTATCACAGTTTTGCTGTATCTTTCTCTGATCCAGAGGGCTTTTTTTTTAAATAAAAAAAAAGAAAAAAAAAAAAAAGTGGCATTTGCACTCTGCTTTTGAACCAGCAACTACCTTTACTTCCATCTCAACCCACACATCTGGACAGAAGAGACAGCAGGGAATGAAAATGTTGCTGTGCCTCACCTCCTGTCAACAGAAAAGCAAGTAAAGCAAAACAAGGAATCCATTCACCACTTCCCATCAGCAGGCAGGTATTCAGCCATCCCCAGGAAAGCCAGACTCCCTCACCTGTAGCAATTACTTGGGAAGAGAAGTGCCATCACTCTGAACCTTCCCCCCCTTCCTCCATCTTCCCCCAGCTTTGCATGCTGAGCATGACATCGTATGGTGTGGAGTTTCCCTCTGGTCAGTTAAGTCAGCTGTCCCAGCTGTGTCCCCTCCCAACTCCTTATGCACCCCCAGCCTTCGTGCTGGTGCTGGTGAGCAGAAAAGGCCTTGGCTCAGCAGTAAGGAAAACATCTACACATTATCAACACTATTCTCAGCACAAATCCAAAACACAGCCCCACACTGGCTACTGTGAAGAAAACCAGCTCTATCCCAGCCAAAACCAGCACAATGGGCAGAGCTTGGCCGTGGTTCTCCTGGTAGCTCATGCACGAGGAGGCATGTACCCTGGGGGTGAGAAGAAATAGTCCTTGTGGTAATAACTGACTGGAAGGCAAGACCAGGCTGGAGCTTTCTGGGGTTTTCTGAGTGATGAAA